TACTGCCTCACGAACTTCTCCCACACTCACAACTGGCACTTCCTCACTCCTACAAGATGTTATTCCTCCTTGCCCTATACACGAAATCACAGCTTCCCTATCTTCATCAACATTTAACAATTCCTCAAAATATTCCCTCCATCTTCCCAATACCTCTAACTCTCCATTTAACCCTTTGAGGGTCGACAGGCCCTCTCCGAAACTCGTTCTCAGGGTCGGCCAAATTTAAAAAAAAAAAAAAATTATTTTCTCTTATGAAAAGATAGAGAATCTTTTCCCGATCATAACGACACCAAAAGTTTGAAATTTGATAGAAAACTTACGGAATTATGCTCTCGCAAAGTTAGCGGTCTCGGCGATGTTTACGGATCGGCGATTTTGCCCACTTTGAGCCCCATTTTCGGCCAATTTCACTGTACTAGTCGACAAAAAACATGAATATTTCGCTAGATCTCCATTTTTTCTATCGAATGGGTGCAAGAAACCACCCATTTATAAATTCAACTATCCAGTACAGTGGTCAGAATTTAGCAATTTTGCCAATTTCACACAAATTTCAAAAGATGCCAATTTCGGAATAGGGTCCAGAATAAACAAGAAAGACATTCCTGGCACTAAAATGACATTTCCTCTAGTCATTAGTCATGTCTCAAGGCCCCTCTTATATTCTTTTGCTTTCCACTTTGAATTTTTATTCTCACAAAAAATATAAGATTTACTGTTATGCAGACTACTGCATTAGTGTAAAAAATGGTATAAATATTATTGGTGCACTTGTGAAAGAATATTAGACTCACCAGTTGACGTGTATTGCACGCTTGGCACGATTTGTTTACTTTTGAAGTTTGGTAAAAATCGAACATTTCTGCTACTTTGAGCTCAATTTCAAGCACCTTTCATTGTAAAACCAGTCAAAATCATCTCAATTTCAGTAATATGTCTTCCATTCTATAAAATGAGACCAAGAAAACTAGAATACAACAATAAATACCATACGAAAATACACTGCAAAGTCGCTGATTTATTAAAAAAAAATGGAAAAAGTTTTTTTTTTCTCATTATGCACCGTTTGCTGCAGGATTTTTTTTAGACTGTGCACACTGACCACATAGACCCATTCTTTCATATGAAGGCCTACCAGCTTTCTCCCACTAGATTTGAGGTCGCTAGAATTTATGAGTACTAGTACGTCAAAAACCCCTACGCGTAAGACGTACTAGTACGACGAAAACCCTCAAAGGGTTAATAACTCTCCTCTCCTATTTTTAACTGACAAATCCATTTGTTCTCTAGGCTTCCTTAACCCTTTGAGGGTCGACAGGCCCTCTCAGAAACTCGTTCTCAGGGTCGGCCAAATTTAAAAAAAAAAAAAATTATTTTCTCTTATGAAAAGATAGAGAATCTTTTCCCGATCATAAAGACACCAAAAGTTTGAAATTTGATAGAAAACTTACGGAATTATGCTCTCGCAAAGTTAGCGGTCTCGGCGATGTTTACGCATCGGCGATTTTGCCCACTTTGAGCCCCATTTTCGGCCAATTTCACTGTACTAGTCGACAAAAAACATGAATATTTCGCTAGAACTCCATTTTTTTCTATCGAATGGGTGCAAGAAACCACCCATTTATGAAATTCAACTATCCAGTACAGTGGTCAGAATTTAGCAATTTTGCCAATTTCACACAAATTTCAAAAGATGCCAATTTCCGAATAGGGTCCAGAATAAACAAGAAAGACATTCCTGGCACTAAAATGACATTTCCTCTAGTCATTAGTCACGTCTCAAGGCCCCTCTTATATTCCTTTGCTTTCCACTTTGAATTTTTATTCTCACAAAAAATATAAGATTTACTGTTATGCAGACTACTGCATTAGTGTAAAAAATGGTATAAATATTATTGGTGCACTTGTGAAAGAATATTAGACTCACCAGTTGACGTGTATTGCACGCATGGCACGATTTGTTTACTTTTGAAGTTTGGTAAAAATCGAACATTTCTGCTACTTTGAGCTCAATTTCAAGGCACCTTTCATTGTAAAACCAGTCAAAATCATCTCAATTTCTGTAATATGTCTTCCATTCTATAAAATGAGACCAAGAAAACTAGAATACAACAATAAATACCATACGAAAATACACTGCAAAGTCGCTGATTTATTCCAAAAAAATGGTCAAAGTTTTTTTTTTCTCATTGTGCACTGTGTGTTGCAGGATTTTTTTTAGACTGTGCACACTGACCAAATAGACCCATTCTTTCATATGAAGGCCTACCAGCTTTCTCCCACTAGATTTGAGGCCGCTAGAATTTATGCGTACTAGTACGTCAAAAACCCCTACGCGTAAGACGTACTAGTACGACCAAAACCCTCAAAGGGTTAACTTGTTAATCTCACTCCAAAACTTTTTCTTATTTTCAACAAAATTTGTTGATAACACCTCACCCACTCTCTCATTTGCTCTCTTTTTACATTGCTTCACCACTCTCTTAACCCCTCTCTTTTTCTTCATATACTTTTCCCTCCTTGCATCACTTCTACTTTGTAAAAACTTCTCATATGCTAACTTTTTCTCCCTTACTACTCTCTTTACATCATCATTCCACCAATCGCTCCTCTTCCCTCCCGCACCCACTTTCCTGTAACCACAAACTTCTGCTGAACACTCTAACACTACATTTTTAAACCTCCCCCATACCTCTTCGACCCCATTGCCTATGCTCTCATTAGCCCATCTATCCTCCAATAGCTGTTTATATCTTTCCCTAACTGCCTCCTCTTTTAGTTTATAAACCTTCACCTCTCTCTTCCCTGATGCTTCTATTCTCCTTGTATCCCATCTACCTTTTACTCTCAGTGTAGCTACAACTAGAAAGTGATCTGATATATCTGTGGCCCCTCTATAAACATGTACATCCTGAAGTCTACTGAACAGTCTTTTATCTACCAATACATAATCCAACAAACTACTGTCATTTCGCCCTACATCATATCTTGTATACTTATTTATCCTCTTTTTCTTAAAATATGTATTACCTATAACTAAACCCCTTTCTATACAAAGTTCAATCAAAGGGCTCCCATTACCATTTACACCTGGCACCCCAAACTTACCTACCTCACCCTCTCTAAAAGTTTCTCCTACTTTAGCATTCAGGTCCCCTACCACAATTACTCTCTCACTTGGTTCAAAGGCTCCTATACATTCACTTAACATCTCCCAAAATCTCTCTCTCTCCTCTGCATTCCTCTCTTCTCCAGGTGCATACACGCTTATTATGACCCACTTCTCGCATCCAATTTTTACTTTAATCCACATAATTCTTGCATTTACACATTCATATTCTCTTTTCTCCTTCCATAACTGATCATTCAACATTACTGCTACCCCTTCCTTTGCTCTAACTCTCTCAGATACTCCAGATTTAATCCCATTTATTTCCCCCCACCGAAACTCCCCTTCCCCCTTCAGCTTTGTTTCGCTTAGGGCCAGGACATCCAACTTCTTTTCATTCATAACATCAACAATCATCTGTTTCTTGTCATCTGCACTACATCCATGCACATTCAAGCATCCCAGTTTTATGAAGTTTTTCTTCTTCTCTTTTTTAGTAGATGTCTACAGGAGAAGGGGTTACTAGCCCATTGCTCCCGGCATTTTAGTCGCCTCATACGACACGCATGGCTTACGGAGGAAAGATTCTTTTCCACTTCCCCATGGACAATAGAAGAAATAAAGAAGAACAAGAGCTATGTAGAAAAAGGAGAAAAACCTAGATGTATGTATATATATATGCATGTGCATGTCTGGGTTGTCTTTCTCTCTCCTGTCTCGTGTTTCTGTTCCTTCTTTATTTTATTTCACCACTTCCCCTTTCACGCACCTCGGTGCGCTTGCTCTCCCTCTGTGGGTTTCTAGCTCTCTTGCAGTGCTCCCCTTCCTTTGTATTTGACTGGCTCGTCTTCCTTATTTCCCACTTCTACCACTACCACTACTACTACCTCTTCTTCTTCTACTACATCTACTGATGAAATTAGACACATGTGCGGCGTCTGGTTGTCTTTGTTGTGGACGTTTCGCCATCCAGTGGCTGGCTGGATGGCGAAACGTCTACGGTGGGGATGCCCGGTTGTGCATGTGTCATTTCATCCTGTCGGTATTATATACAATTCTTGTACTACTACTACTACTACTACCACTACTACTACCACTACTACTACCACTAATACTACCTCCACCTCTTCCTGCCTATATATAGCCGTCCTGCTCCTCCTCTGTTAGTGTGACTTTGTCAATGGTCCAAGTCGGACCGAAACGTCGTCATAAGCTTCTGTCTTTTATGTGCGGGTTATTTGTGTATCCCTGTTATCTAGCGTGTTTATGAGACAGAAAAAGACACCAGCAATCCTACCATCATGCAAAACAGTTACAGGTTTCTGTTTCACAGTCATCTGGCAGGACGGTAGTACTTCCCTGGGTGGTTGCTGTCTTCCAACCTACTACCTACTTCTTTTACATACCCTACCAAATTCTTCTACCAACCTCTGCGACCTCTCTTCAGAATCTCCCAAGAGCACAGTGTCATCAGCAAAGAGCAACTGTGACGACTCCCACTTTGTGTGATTCTTTATCTTTTAACGCTATGCCTCTTGCCAAGACCCTCGCATTTACTTCTCTTACAACCCCATCTATAAATATATTAAACAACCACGGTGACATCACACATCCTTGTCTAAGGCCTACTTTTACTGGGAAATAGTTTCCCTCTTTCCTACATACTCTAACTTGAGCCTCACTATCCTCGTAAAAACTTTTACTGCTTTCAGTAACCTACCTCCTATACCAAACACCTGCAACATCTGCCACATTGTCCCCCTATCCACCCTGTCATACACCTTTTCCAAATCCATAAATGCCACAAAAACCTCTTTAGCCTTATCTAAATACTGTTCACTTATATGACTGATTAATAATGTAGAAATAAAATATTTCTTTGACACAGGTGCAGCAGCTGTTGAAGGTAGTTAAAACCAACTTTGTCGTAATGAAACTGCTGGAGGGCGGGCATAAGGCAGATGACCCCAGCCGGCCCCAGTTTGACTTCACCACCCATCCATGCTTTCCAATTATAAAGATTTAGCAGAAGGCTGTGAGGAAGAGGTCCCCAAAGGATCTCCTCCCAATCCATGAACTTGAAGAAGCAAGATAAATTGGGTAGATAATTATCAAGAAGACATTTAGTATAGCACCTACAATTGAGCACCAAATGTTCAGAATCTAATATTTCAGAAAATTGTAAAGTTTGTTTTGGTACTTAGACATTGATGTTATCTGGATTTGTACTATAGTATTTTGTCTATGAAATTATTCCTTGAAATCTTACCATAGATTTTCACAGGATGGATGATAAGTTCCAAACAGTCACGTCCCCATGTTGATCTGAACTGCAACTGCTCAACTGTATTAACTACGCAGCAAAACCCTGGTAATATGCATTGCTGAAGTGAATTATTATTATTATGTCAAATAAAATAGGACCATATTTTAATATACTATAGACTAGATAAAAACAGTAATATTTTATAAAGTAAGAAGAAGATGTTATAATGTAGAACTGATCAGGTAAAATGTGGCAGCTTGCATAAGCCTTAAGGCTGCTTGAAGTGACGGAATATATCTAGTGTTGATTTTGTTACATATTGTTTATACTGCAGTACTCAGCAAGAAGTGCGAAGAACACTGCTGCTGTACACAGCTATCAGGAACACTGCTGCACACAGCTGTCAGGAACACTGTTGCACACAGCTGTCAGGAACACTGCTGCACACAGCTGTCAGGAACACTTCTGCACACAGCTGTCAGGAACACTGCTACACACAGCTGTCAGGAACACTTCTGCACACAGCTGTCAGGAACACTGCTACACACAGCTGTCAGGAACACTGCTACACACAGCTGTCAGGAACACTGCTGCACACACCTGTCAGGAACACTGCTGCACACACCTGTCAGGAACACTGCTGCACACAGCTGTCAGGAACACTGCTGCACACAGCTGTCATGAACACTGCTGCACACAGCTGTCATGAACACTGCTGCACACAGCTGTCATGAACACTGCTGCACACAGCTGTCAGGAACACTGCTACACACAGCTGTCAGGAACACTGCTACACACAGCTGTCAGGAACACTGCTGCACACAGCTGTCAGGAACACTGCTGCACACAGCTGTCAGGAACACTGCTGCACACAGCTTTCAGGAACACTGCTGCACACAGCTGTCAGGAACACTGCTGCACACAGCTGTCAGGACCGTTGCTGCGCACAGGGGCCAGGAACATTGCTGCTGCACACATTATCAGGGTTTTGCTATACATGTCTGTCTCTAATTTATAAACAATGAACTTTAGACAATTGTCGAAGAAAATTGAATGGAAATAAACATTAATGCGTGAGATAATATAAAATACTATATAGTAAATGGTACATAATGTTGATGTGTAGTATTGTTGGTTGTGAGAGTGAGATTTTCACTAGTGGGCAAACATAATGTTGGTAACTCCTCATGAAAGAGAGAGAGAGAGAGAGAGAGTGAGTCACAGGTGAGTTTTATCTTAATTTTATTATATAATATTTATTATTACTTTGTGAAGCATATTTGTTTAATATTTTCAATATAGTACAAAGCAGGTCATTAATGAAGCTGACTGATGAAGCTTCCACACTGCTTGCCACTACAATATATACTTTAAACAAGGTGAAAATTGTGTTGGGAAATGTTTCATTTTATTCACTTCTTTAGGCTGACTAAGCTACACTTATTTTGGCATCTTGGATCTTATTGGGTATCCCTGGATGGGGGCAAACCTATTGTGGTTATCACTCTTTTCTTCCCCAAGCAAAGCCTAGGTTTCTGTGTGATAACTTGAGAGTGTATCATCTGATCAGCTTCAAACTTTTAGTATTTGTGCTTCTTATTTAAAGGAATGTTTGGATTGTTATTGAGCTGTGTAAATGCCAGTTTAATTGAAACTGGAAACATTTAAATGTGAGCTAACTGATTGGCTTGAAAGCTTCAGTGCTGATGTATCTTGTATAGAGAAACCTTGGGATTGTTATTGTATTTGAAAATTTTTACTTGAAACCCTCAGTTGTCCTTGTCTGATAGCTCTTAGGAGGCATGCAAATGCCTGTTAAAAAAAAACTGAAGGATTGTAGAGAATTTGAAATAGAATGTAATGTAATTTCAAAAGATAACTGAAAGATACGGTAAGCCCTTAATTTAACGGTACAATAGAGGACAGCAGGTGGCTGTTGACGGTAATTGTGGTGGATAGAGATAACATGGTCTTGCTGTCATCATAATATTAACAGACAATTTTCTAACCAACACGTTGTTGTCTGAATACATTGACCCAATGGATTTTGCTCTAAATTTCCAAAGTCCGTTAAATCAATGGTTCACTGTATTGAAAATTTGCATTTTTATGGTCTTAACTTTGGAAAGTTTAGTGAACTCTTAAACTTTTTTTTTTTTGTACTGCTTTATTGGAGAGCCAGTCATAAACTCAGGTACAGTTTTTAGTTTTTTCTTCTTCCTCCAAGGTTTGCATATAATAACTTCAGAACTACTATTCTGATTGACATGGAAGTTGGTGCATCTTACTTAAGAGTAAGATTCAGATTTTTTGTGATATGTAGGTGCCAGTTTGCCATTTGTATTGAAGATATAAGGATATTAGTTTCCATGCAATAGTTCTTAAATGCCTCTTTTGATCAGCTTCAAATCTTCACTGCTGATATTTAATTGCATTAGAAACTTATGCTGCACTCAGTACTATTCTTTTACATGCACTGAGGTGCAGGGGGTTGAGTTCATGGGATATCTTGGATCACATAGCCACTGAAACAAATCTAGTGACTTTGTAGGAATTTATTTTTATTTTATTTGTTCATACAAAGCCAGCACAAAGTTAATTTATTTGTTGACTTTCTTTTAAAGAAAAAAATATTTCATATACTGTACCATATAATTTCCTTAATTCAGAAATGTTTGTCCACCTAAATGGAACTAACTTGATGTTTATTTACAGAGTATAATAGAATTTAAATTTATTTTGAGTTTTTTATTTGCTAGTTTAAACATTCAAAAAAATACTTAACCTTTTTACCGTCTCATACATAGATCTGTGTTATTGCTGCCAGGGTCATGTACAAAATATAACAGTATCAAAGTGATACACTCAGATCACGACATAATAGATATACAGACATGTATGTGCAGGGCTCCTGTCCAGCAAAATGTGATCAGTTATGAGGGTGTCTTCACTAACTTCAACTTCAGTAATGAAGAACATACAGTAGGATCAAATTAACCATGTCCTAAATATAACAAGCTGGGAAGATGTCCTAAACAACACAGATCTAAACCTTTGCCTAGAAAGAATTAACTTTGTGGCACTTAAGGTATGCTCAAGGCACATTCCTCTAAGAAAAAAGAAGAGATGATGTAAACTAGAGAGAGAGAGAGAGAGATGCACCCTCTACATGCAAAGGCAAAGAATCACAGAGCTGTTGGTATATCTTATATCTGAAATATGAAATAGGCACTGGCCAGATAAACAGAAAATATCGAACTTAAGTTTAAGGAATCATACAGGAACCAAGAAACACAGGAAAAACTTAAAAACCATAAATGAAATTGGCAAACCAAAATATTTCTTTTCCTATGCCAAATCTAGGGCAAAAACCACATCCATTATTGGACTGCTTCACTGAGATAGGGCTTACACAGATGACAGCAAAGAAATGAGTGAGATATAGTATTTAGTGAGTCGTTAGTCAGACTAAGGGTCAAGAATCTAAGTGAATTTTGTATGACCGAGACACTAAATTTGGTTAATTCAAGCATTTCTGATATAATCCTAACACCACAGGTCTTTGAAAAAGTAATAAATGACATGCTCATGCATGCTACCCCAGGCCCAGACTTGGAATTTCATGTTCATCAAGAACTGCGAGAAACCTCGTACATGTGTCTTAAATATTTTATGGAGAAGGATCATAGACACAATAAAGCAATTGCAAAGAATTACAGACTGATAGCACTAACATCCAACATCATAAAAATCTTTGAAAAGGTTCTAAGAAGCAAAATTGCCAACCACTTGGATACACATCAGTTGCACAACCCAGGGCAGCATGGGTTTAGAGCAGGTTGCTCCTGCCTCTCACAACTACTGGATCACTATGACATGGTCTTGGATGGTCTGGAAAACAAACAAAATGCATATGTAGTATACACAGACTGAAAACCTTTGATAAGTGCAATCATGGTGTAATAGCACACAAAATGTGTGAAAAAAAAGAATACCAGGAAAAGTGGGTAGATGGATCTATAATTTCCTAACAAATAGAACACAAAGAGTAATAAACAGTAAAGTCAGAGGTAGCTACAGTGAAAAGCTCTGTTCTACAAGGTACAGTACTCACTCTCATCCTTTTCCTTATCCAAACATCTGACATAAACAGAGATGTAAGCCATAGCACCGTGTCCTCCTTTGCTGATGAAACCAGCATTTGCATGAGTGTCATCCATCAAGGACACTGCAAATCTCCAAGAAGACATTAACCAAATCTTTAAATGTCCCCTCAGAAAACAGTATGAAGTTCAGTGAAGACAAATTTCAGTTACTCCACCATGGAAAACTCGAGGAAATAAAAACTGGATCACTGGATCAGAGTATAAAACAAATTCCAACTACACAATAGAGCGAAAAACTAATATGAAGGACCTGGGACTGATAATGTCAGAGAGTCTCACTTTCAGATATCACAACAATGTATTTATCATATCTGCTAGGAAAATGACAGGGTGGATAATGAGAACCTTCAAAACTAGGGATGCCAAGCCCATGATTCTCTTCAAATCACTGTACAAATCACTGTTTCCAATAACTCTTCAGATATTGCTGTACACTAACGACCCCTTTCGAAGCAGGTGAAATTGCGGAACTGGAAAATATACAGAGGTCTTTCACAGCACGTATAAGTACAATAAAGCACCTAAATTACTGGGAATGGTTCAAGTCCCTTGAACCATTAATCTCACCAGGTGATGTGGTGAGATTAATGATGGAACCATATCTTGGCTCCAACATTATACACTGTTAATTGACACATACCTTTGATGAGTTCTGAGAGTTTTTCTACTCCCAGAGCCCGGCCTTGGACAGGGCTCATTTGGTGCTTGCCTGGTCAACCAGGCTGTTGCTGGTGGTGGCCCACATATCCATCAAAGCCTGGTTGATCTAGCATCTGATCCTTACTCAGTGATTTTCTGCATGTGGACATGATAGACATATGTGGTACAGTGTGGGGAACATGTAACATATGCCCAGGTTCAATGCAGACATTGGTGCCAGTGAGGTGCAGGTGTTTCATGCCAATGACATCATAGCATTTTGGTGACATATTATACATGATGTGACATTGTTGACATTGATTCACCACCATGAAATGAAAGACACTGGAAAGGTGAATACACACCCATGAACCCATTGTGAGATCAGCTGTTGTAATGGATTACTCTACCAGTATGTATTGGATAGATAAATATGACATGCAAATTAGGTTTGCTGATTGTGTCCTCATGAATTACCAGTGATACATGAAACTCTTCTTACATCTTGTGGTCATTGCAATACTTATTGTATATAACATGTACCAGGTCAGGACCAACAACAAAGCATGATATGCCCACTTTTGTTTGTCTGTCATCAGACAAATAATACACAAATACCTGGTTACAACACCTGCAACGCACATATGCCACCGAATTGATCACCAAGTACACTCTTGTTTAAAGTTTTACTTAGATTAGCTGTGAACAGTAAATTTTGTCCTAGATATGAGAAAATGGGTCTGTGCAATGAGTGTGCACAGTATAAAAAAAATCTTGCCTTACATGGTTCATGATGGGAAAAGCAAACAATGACCTTGTGTTTGGTTTAAAATAATATGTTTGAGATATTTTTGTGGATGAGTTTTATGGTTTTATTGGCTGTATCTTGGTATCATTTGATAGAATGGAAGATATACTACTGAAAGAGAAGTGAGTTTAGTTGGCTTCAAGACTGAAAGTAGCTTATACCTTTGATATGCCTTTGAAGAGTTTCGAGAGTTTCTTTACTCTCTGAGCCCAGCCATGGGCCAGGCTCGTCTGGTGCGTGCCTGGTCAACCATGCTGTTGCTGCTGGAGGCCCGCTGCCCCACATATCCATCACAGCCTGGTTGATCTGGCACCTGGTGAAGATACTTGCCCAGTTTCCTCTTGAAGGCTTCTACACTTGTTCCAGCTGTGTTTCTGATATCTTCTGGTAAGATGTTAAATAGTCTGGGACCCCGGATGTTGATACAGTGTTCCCTTGTTGTCCCAGTGGGGACAACAAGGGACCAGGCCCTTGGGTACTTTCTAGGTATACCTATATTATCATGTATCTCTCTCTCCTCCACTCCAGTGAGTACATGTTCAAGACTTGAAGGTGTTCCCAGTAGTTTAGGTGCTTTACTGGCTCAGTGAGAGCTGTAAACAATCTTTGTATTTGTTCCAGCTCTGATATTTCTCCTGCTTTGAATGGGGCCGTCAGCACTGAGCAATATTCAAAGTGAGGGAGCACTAGTGATTTGAAGTGTGTCACCATAGGCATTATTTCCCTTGTTTTGAAAGTTCTCAATACCCACTCCATCATCTTACTGGCTGTTGTGATCTTTGTCTTGTTATGGCTTTTAACCCTTTCAGAGTCGACAGGCCCTCTCCCAGACTTGTTCTCAGGGTCGCCCAAATTTCAAAAAAAAAAAAAATCTTATGAAAAGATAGAGAAGCTTTTCCCAATCATAATGACACCAAAAGTATGAAATTTGATAGAAAACTTACGGAATTATGCTCTCGCGAAGTTAGCGGTCTCGACGATGTTTACGCATTGGCGATTTTGCCCACTTTGAGCCCTATTTTTGGCCAATTCCAGTGTACTAGTCGACAAAAATCATAACTATTTCGCTAGAACTCCATTTTGTCTATCGAATGAGTACAAGAAACCACCCATTTACCGATTTCAACTATCCAGTACAGTGGTCAGAATTTAGCAATTTTGCCAATTTCACACAAATTTCAAAAGATGCCAATTTCCGAATAGAGTCCAGAACAAACAAGACAGACATTCCTGGCACTAAAATAACATTTCCTCTGTTCATTAGTCACGTCCCCATGCCCCTTTTACATTCTTTTGCTTTCCACTTTGAATTTTTATTCTCACAAAAAAATAGAAGATATACTGTTATGCAGACTACTGCATTAGTGTAGAAATGGTATAAATAAAATCAGCGCACTTATGAAAGAATATTAGACTCACCAGTTGACGTGTATTGGATGCATGGCATGATTTGTTTACTTTTGATCTTTGGTAAAAATCAAACATTTCTGCTACTTTGAGCTCAATTTCAAGGTACTTTTCATTGTAAAACCAGTCAAAATCATCTCAATTTCTGTAATATGTCTTCCATTCTATAAAATGAGACCAGG